TAAATTTTTCTTTTTTTTAACCAACTCCTATATATTATAATAAAAAAACGTTATTTAAATTGTTAATAGTTCAGAGTCTTTCATAAATATATAAATATAAAAGGCACACCAATTGTTATTTCATTTGTTATTATATTATCTTTTATCTCTTCAACTATATAAATTATTGATTTATTTATAAAATTTACTTTTTTAAGAATTTTTATTTTTTAACTAACAAAGTATTAGTAGTTCATATTAATAAATATAAGTTTGAAAAAAATGTTAGTTGATTATATATATATATATATATATATATATATATATATATATATTAGTCAAGAATAATTTAATTTTTATATTCTTGTCATGTTTATATATTTATACTTTTGTTATATACCTTGTATCTTTACTCTCTCTCTCAAAGAGTTAATATCATAAAACGTATTTATTATCACATGTCTCATCCTTTTACTAATCATAAAGTGTTTAGTTTATATAAGTTGATGAGATTAAATCAAAAACATTAGTAGAATAGTCTTTTGAATAATTTTCAAATAAAATGACTTTAATTAATTATTCATATTCCTTTAGTAATATACTTTTACTTTCACATATGTTATGATTAGTGTTTCAGTCTCTGTCAACAAGGGAGATTAGTCTTCAATTCCAAGGATAGGAATAAAGCCATGACAAAATAAAAGAATCAAAATAAAAACAGATTCAAATATAAAAGAAAAAGAGATCCTAAGAGATTATCTAAAATATTCTAAAATAATATCTTCAAGTATTCCTTTCATTTCTAAAAATTATTTTAATTTTTATTAATTACTTTTCAAATGTTAAAATGAAACAAAATTTGGAATTAAGAAATTTTTAATATTTTTTTTTCTTAAAGTCATATTTTATTATATTTTAACATGAGAAATAGTTTTAATGGATGAGTGAACCTAAATAGTTATTTGTAAAATCAAATTTAAGAATAAAATATACTAAACTTAAGATTTATAAAACATAAAATTTAAGGTGCTTTTTTATAATTATATTATCGATAAAAAATATAATATTGATAAATTTTTTAAAGATTATTCTCCATTATAATATATTATTACTCAACTGTAATTGGATGTCTTTTCCAAACTATCATAAAAAACACAAATTCAAAATCTTACTAAATTGAATTAAATTTGTACTTATACCAGGAAATTGATTGAGAGATTCTCTTTTTACTATATAATATTATAATGAATTAGATGTGTCTGTCTTAATAACTTAATGGATATATTTTTTTATAAACTTAGCAAGAATAGTAGGATTTTGATAAGTATTGTTATTTGATTATTTTGAATAGCTAATGAAAAAATTAAATATATATTTTTTGTTAAAGGGGTAGAATTAATACACTAAGTACTTTATAATTAATATTTATTTGTCCATAAAAAAAATATTTTCTTATAAAAGTAAAAGAATTTATTTAAGGTGAACCAGAACAATTTATTAATAGCACGAATTTCTAATTATTATAAATTATATGCTTATCCCTCGTAAAATTTTACTTATAAGATTAATATCCGGGATATATTTAAAAATTTTATCAATGTCTTCCTACACCAGTTTTTGACCTAGGGTGAAAATTTTGTTAGAAAATTAAGGTAAAAAGTGTTGTCAACATTTATTAATTCATCAAGCAGAAATAAATTGTTTGACTATAGGTCAATATAAATTAAAAAAGGGTCTTATAGAGGGTGAAAAAGTTGAAAACCTCATTGACTTATAGCAAATTGCAAAAATAAAGCGTGGTGGATAAATCAAAGATGAGTGAGGTAATTTGAATAAGCATATAAACCACGTGTTTAGCCAAAACCGACGCAAAAACGGAGATGGAGAACTATATAACAATTATTATACCAAGAACATTAGCAAAGTGAAGAACTTAAAATGATACTTTTAAAAAGTGAAATATAACAATAATTTAAAAAATTTATGAGAGTGGTTATATATGAGTTTGTTAAGGTGAAAAATACTCTCATATATTATAAATTCTAAATTTTAAGATCAAATGTATTTAAATAATTTTCATTCTCAAAACTAAAAGAACAAAAAAACCCGAAATCCTTACTCACCTGTCTCTCTCTCACATCCATCATTCCTCTCAACTCTTTCTTTTTTATCTCTCTCACTTCAACCTTCTCTCTGTCATCCCTATAGTATCCCCAACTGAAAAAAAAATTAGAAATCCTCATCTCACCCTAATTCATCTTCCTTACTTATCCAATTTTGTTTCTCTCTCATCTCCGTCCTCTCTCACACCCACACACAAAAACCCGTGACACCGCAATTTTTTACTCTTGCTCTGTTCGTTCATTTGTTTTCCACTTTAATAATAAAATAATTGATGATGTTGATGTTGATTTTTTATTGGAGGGTTGTTTTATATCTTTTTCCTTCTAATTATTATTAAATTTGTAAAAAACTAAAGTCTACAATAATTTCAATAATTTCAAAACAAAAATAAACTAAAAAACAAGAAACTCCCCACGAAAAGACTTTACCTATTCAATAATTTCAATATATTTTTTAGACTAGTGTTTTAAACCAAAAATAAAGACTTTACCTACTTAAAACTTAAATTAGATTTCTCTAAAATATAATGTTCCAATTTTAGTAGTTTAGAAGTGATAAAATAAGACGTTATAAGATTGATAAAACAAAACATATCGTTTTAAACTATAAAAGTATAATATTAATACAATTATAGTAAAAAATAACTATGATAGTAAAATATATGTGAACTAAATAGACAATCATGAAGAAAAATTCTGTAGTATCATTGTCTTCAACCAGAGACACTTCAACTCCTATCCCTTTGCTTACATCAATAAGGTAATAATGGCGAAAGAAACAAATAGCATACAAGAGATAATAAAAGATATAATAGAGTAAGCTAATGCGCAAAAGAGTTTTCATAAACAATTAAATCACAATAGATAAAATCTAAACATTAATTAAAAACAATTAATCATATAAATATAGATAAACAACTAACACTAGACTCAATTATCCGAATACATGCCTTTGACATTGGATTTCACTATAGACATGCACTTATAGTAGTATTTATATTCTACAAAGTTATAAACAAAGAGGTTATCACCCTACTACTCACAAGGTTAGTTTCCTTCGCGCCTAGGACCAAACCAATGTCTATAAACTATGACCTCCCACAATTTTCACCACAAAACTCATTCTACTCTATTTGAGTGTGAATAGTTATTAAAGTTCAGGATACCTCCTTAATGAACCCCTAATGTCAATGCATACATAAACGCATCACCATAAAGCATTTCTCCTTGAAATTCTCACAACATCATCACCACACATATCCACAATCATGTTGACAATCCATAATACATATTAACATACATAATATTCATAGAAATCCATTTTAAACAAATATAAGCATAAATATACATTGGCGCTCTAAAGTGACACTCAACACAATACCTCTCGCAAAAGAGAGCCCTTAGAGACATTCATGACACTCAACGCCAAACCTTTCGTAAAAGATGGTACTCAACAATAGTCTTCATGCTCAGTATCATTCTTCTCGTAAAATGTCTCGCTTAGCAGCATCATTTTTTGTCTCATTGACCTAAAATTAAATTGTTCCAGACCTATAGTGAAAAGTGGCATTAAGTGATGCCTTACCACCGCTCAACGTTGGAGCATTCGCACATATGTGCGCTCAGCGGTACAAACCTTATGCTCAGTAGTCTAGAGCTAAATTTGTTCTCAGACCAACACAAGGAATTGACGCTTAATGTCAATTGGTCGCCGCTTAATGTCATACTAGAAAACAACATATTCAGTTATGTGATTTGGGGAAAAAGAGATTTGTTTAGATGATTAAATTGATATTCCTGACTTAATGCTTTGTTCGAAAATAGTTTTCAATATGGAAATGCATACTAACTCACTACTTGCTCAAATTATCAGATCCCGAGTTTCTTAATTCCACACCAATTTAGACAAAGCAAAACAACACGCAAACATGGTAACACATTCAAATTTCAACAACTCAAACAGCAAATCAACAATTCAACATACTTACATCAACTAGACATGCAATTTACCATATTCATCAGATTTATAACTTTAAAATAAAACAATTAGCTTCCTTACCTGATAGATGACCAAACAACTCAATAATACTTCCAAAAACATAGGAAGCTATATCTGCCCTTATGAACAGTATAAATATAATCAGGGCACACCATTAGGACAACTTATAAACAAAGACTTTTAAAGATGACTCAAACATCACTTGCAACATATAATTCACATGAAAAGGAAGACAAAATAGACCAAAGAGAAGAAGAGAAAACCAACTTATTCTATCTAAGAAATTGATCGAATGGACGTGAAAAGCTCACCTCAAGGATCACCCTAGCAATATTCGATCTTCAACAAACTGAAGAAGAAAAACTCTCAGAGTCAAATAACTCTAGAAAAATGATTTCTAAAGAGATAATGCGTTTTAAAAATATAAAACTCGTTAATAACAAAACTATTTATATTAAAACCTTTTAATAATAAAATAATCGATTCTTATTATTTTTAAATCACTTCTAAAATGTTATTTTTTATATCTTTACATTCTCTCTAACAACAAGAAAATTTTTCAGCCTCGAGATAGAAAGAAATATATATTCTTCTCATTTTCTCTTATAACAACCACCTGGACTGATCTAACTTTTCGATCCCAATACCTTAATTAAATTGAAATCCTTACATAAAAAATGTAACATCATAAGGAGTAGTTATATTACAACCTTGTCTGTCTAAATAAATAAATATATAATCACTAAGCTATATTACGTAAATTAACTTTTTTTGTGAGACATGTGTTGTCTCCAATATTTTTTTTTAAATTAATGCACAAATGATCTTATATAAGGGTGGAACCTTTGAGAAAGAAAACCGTAGTCATATACCTATCACTGACAAATATTAATATCTTGTGAGAGAAATTGAAATGGGTGAGGAATATGGCATTATATCGAAGGAGACAGTAAAGCCATCTTCCCAAACCCCTATTCAGCACTTCAAACTCTCTTTTCTCGACCAATTGGCTCCTTCATTCCATGTTCCCATTCTGCTCTTTTACTCTGCCTCTGATGTTAGAACCTTTGCTGCCACTGACCACAGTGCACTGTCACAAAAGTTGAAAACTTCTCTGTCACAAGTCCTCACTCTCTATTACCCATTTTGCGGAAGACTCAGAAACTCTTCAATCATTGAGTGCAACGACGAGGGTGTTCTTTTCATCCACTCTAAACTCCCCATTGAGCTCTCAAACATTCTCCAAAACCCTCAACTTCACACCCTCTATGAACTTCTCCCATGTCCTCCTTACAACCTTGAACCACAACAAAGGGACACGTTCGGGATCATGGCAGTTCAGTTGAGCCAATTCAAGTGTGGGGGCATAGCCCTTGGCGTGTGCTTCTCACACAAGATCGCTGATGCTTCCACTGCAGCATCGTTTCTCAACGCTTGGGCTGCAACATCACGTGGACACGGCAATAGCAACCTCGTTCCACCTCCAATGGAAGAGGCAAGTCTGCTTTTCCCATCGAGGAACATATCCGTTGACATGACAAGTGGCATGGTTGGCCAAGAAAAGACTGTGACAAAGAGATTCATATTTAGTGGCAGCAGTATTTCTAGATTGAGACAAACCATAGGGTGCCCCAGATTCAATCCCTCACGCGTTGAAGCCGTGACGACGCTGCTATGGAAATCATCACTGGAAGCAGCAAAAGAAAGTTTAGATTCTGGGGAAGAAAAAATTGTTGCTTCTGCGGTATCCCACACTGNCAAATCAACAATTCAACATACTTACATCAACTAGACATGCAATTTACCATATTCATCAGATTTATAACTTTAAAATAAAACAATTAGCTTCCTTACCTGATAGATGACCAAACAACTCAATAATACTTCCAAAAACATAGGAAGCTATATCTGCCCTTATGAACAGTATAAATATAATCAGGGCACACCATTAGGACAACTTATAAACAAAGACTTTTAAATATGACTCAAACGTCACTTGCAACCCCATATAATTCACATGAAAAGGAAGACAAAATAGACCAAAGAGAAGAAGAGAAAACCAACTTATTCTATCTAAGAAATTGATCGAATGGACGTGAAAAGCTCACCTCAAGGATCACCCTAGCAATATTCGATCTTCAACAAACTGAAGAAGAAAAACTCTCAGAGTCAAATAACTCTAGAAAAATGATTTCTAAAGAGATAATGCGTTTTAAAAATATAAAACTCGTTAATAACAAAACTATTTATATTAAAACCTTTTAATAATAAAATAATCGATTCTTATTATTTTTAAATCACTTCTAAAATGTTATTTTTTATATCTTTACATTCTCTCTAACAACAAGAAAATTTTTCAGCCTCGAGATAGAAAGAAATATATATTCTTCTCATTTTCTCTTATAACAACCACCTGGACTGATCTAACTTTTCGATCCCAATACCTTAATTAAATTGAAATCCTTACATAAAAAATGTAACATCATAAGGAGTAGTTATATTACAACCTTGTCTGTCTAAATAAATAAATATATAATCACTAAGCTATATTACGTAAATTAACTTTTTTTGTGAGACATGTGTTGTCTCCAATATTTTTTTTTAAATTAATGCACAAATGATCTTATATAAGGGTGGAACCTTTGAGAAAGAAAACCGTAGTCATATACCTATCACTGACAAATATTAATATCTTGTGAGAGAAATTGAAATGGGTGAGGAATATGGCATTATATCGAAGGAGACAGTAAAGCCATCTTCCCAAACCCCTATTCAGCACTTCAAACTCTCTTTTCTCGACCAATTGGCTCCTTCATTCCATGTTCCCATTCTGCTCTTTTACTCTGCCTCTGATGTTAGAACCTTTGCTGCCACTGACCACAGTGCACTGTCACAAAAGTTGAAAACTTCTCTGTCACAAGTCCTCACTCTCTATTACCCATTTTGCGGAAGACTCAGAAACTCTTCAATCATTGAGTGCAACGACGAGGGTGTTCTTTTCATCCACTCTAAACTCCCCATTGAGCTCTCAAACATTCTCCAAAACCCTCAACTTCACACCCTCTATGAACTTCTCCCATGTCCTCCTTACAACCTTGAACCACAACAAAGGGACACGTTCGGGATCATGGCAGTTCAGTTGAGCCAATTCAAGTGTGGGGGCATAGCCCTTGGCGTGTGCTTCTCACACAAGATCGCTGATGCTTCCACTGCAGCATCGTTTCTCAACGCTTGGGCTGCAACATCACGTGGACACGGCAATAGCAACCTCGTTCCACCTCCAATGGAAGAGGCAAGTCTGCTTTTCCCATCGAGGAACATATCCGTTGACATGACAAGTGGCATGGTTGGCCAAGAAAAGACTGTGACAAAGAGATTCATATTTAGTGGCAGCAGTATTTCTAGATTGAGACAAACCATAGGGTGCCCCAGATTCAATCCCTCACGCGTTGAAGCCGTGACGACGCTGCTATGGAAATCATCACTGGAAGCAGCAAAAGAAAGTTTAGATTCTGGGGAAGAAAAAATTGTTGCTTCTGCGGTATCCCACACAGTGAACATTCGCAGCAGAATGGTTCCATCTTTGTCGAAGCATTCAGTTGGAAACATTTGGCAATACGCGGTGTCTTCGTTGGTGGAAGTGGAGGGGGAAGTGGGGTTGCGTGATTTGGCAGAGAGAAAGAAGGAAACAATAGGAAAAGTTGATGGAGATTATATAAAGAAACTTCAGAGTGATGAGTTTGTTGAAGTAGTTCAGGCTATAGAAGAAGCAAGGAGACTGGCTGAAGAAAAGGGTGTTCGAGGTTATGGGTTTACCAGTTGGGTAGGGTTTGAGTTCTATGAAGTTGATTTTGGATGGGGAAAGCCCAGTTATGCTAGCACCATTCCTGTGCCCATAAAAAATTTGGGAACTTTGATGAGCACAAAGGATGGAGATGGCATAGAGGCATGGCTTACCTTGACCACACGTGACATGGCTCGGCTTGAACACAATGCAGAACTTCTGAACTTTGCGTCGTTTGATTCTTAATCTTAAAAGTAATGTTGTTTGATATAATTTTATCTTAAATAATGCAGAACTCACTGCCATGGGATCATTAGAGTGTGCTTCATGTTTCTAGTCTCTAGTATAGCTTATTGGAATAATGGGAATCAGCATGGTTTCTTTACTAGGTGTGCTTTTCCTTCTTCTATTATATTGTAAAATGTCAAATAAAGTTGATGTTCCGACCACTTTATACGGAATGATAGACTTGCACCGCACTAACTTACTAAAGAAAGTACTCACACAATCAAAATATTGAGTAACACTTAAGATTCATCTTGAAGACTTAATATATCTAGAGAGGACATACAAGTTGTTGTGGTACAATAATCCACAAAGAAAAAAAAAATATTCACATTACAATCTAAAATAATAATATTTTACTTATTTTGTTTTATTTTTAACTTAAAATTCCAACATAATTTTTTATATTATTAAAGTGGTTGTCAATTATGCGTATCTTTTTAAGGAATGTCAAAGTATTATTTTGCCATAAATTTATAATATACGATGTAATTAGAGAAAAATATATAGAAAGGAGTGAAAAAATGGTTAACAAATTTGAAAAAAGAGCAAATAATATTGATAGATTTACATTACAAAACTCTCATAACAAATAACTATCTTAAGGTGAAAATTTTATAATTAAATTATTGTATTTTTCTTAATAAGTTTTATAATTGTTGATGGAATTTTACCAACATAAATAAATTTGTCAATAAAATAAAATTTAAAAACAAATTTTACTCATGAAATTTAGTCTATTCGTAAAGTTCATCAATTTAATTTACAATGAAAATATTTATCAATAAATTCACTCGGTAAAATTCAGGTAATCTAGAATTGTTATTATAGTAATGAATTTTTTTGTTGGTAAATTATGTTGATCAAATGATAATATATTTTTCATTTTGAGCTTTGAACATGGTGGTTAAATTGATTGATAATTAAATTTCTTAAAAATTATTAGTAAAATTTATTAATGAAAAATATTTGTAGATAGTTTTATCGATAAATTGAGAGCCGGATTTATCGTCCAATTTTATATAATATGTTTATAAATTAATTAGAGAAGTGTGAGAGAAAAAGAAAAAAAAATAAAAAAAAGGAGAAAAGAAAAAGGTGAAGGAGGGAGAGGATGAGAAGAAGAGTCAACGACGGTACAAGATGCAGCAGGATGGCGGCGGTGTAACAACGACAGCGATGGTGGTGTCTGAAAGGAAGAAAGTGGTGAGGGAAGTGTATGGAAGTTGATACATCTAAATTTTTTACAATACTATTCTTATTTATCTTTTACTTTTTTTTTTTAAAACATACAAAACTTTACTTTTTAAATAATTTTAATCTTACATCGTGAATGTAAAAGTAAGTCATGCTATATTTTTATTTAAAAAAATCTTGCATGGGTGTCACATCCTGTAGTATTAGGTGTGTGGTGTAATGGTCCCGTTAAAGGAGATAGAAGGTGATAAATATGAGAGGGTCCAGTGCGAGAGAATGGGGTGTGAGCGTGGGCAGGAAAATGAAAATGAGAATAGAGAGAGAAGGGTGATGGGGTTAGTAATCAGCAGAAGAAGGAAGAAAAGAGAATAGATAGGGAGAGAGACGAAGAGGGTTGCTACGAAGAAGAGGAATTGAGTGGCTTGGGGTGGGTCCATTGGTTTTAGTGAAGAATATCTTGAAGAACGTTTCTTTCAACCAAGGTGGTCCACGTTCCAGGAGCATTGGAGAGAGAAAAAGAGAAGAGGGAGTGAAGCTACAAGGTGTAAACTACGTTTTATGAATTAAAAGAGGGATAAAACAAGAGTTCTTGAGATAAAGGAACCGGCGTGGGTCCCACTGTTAAAAGGGAATGATGAGTGGAGAGTGTTCTCTTTTTGATTTTTTGCGTGGAGTGAGAAAACACAGGCAAAAGCCTCTTTTGGGTGGTCAAGGTCCTTGGCTGAAGTTTTGAAGTGAAGGGGGTGGGTCTTTTTTAACCCAGGGTTCTTTTGTCTTAACACATTCATCTCCTCAACACTCATTTTCTTGAATAACTCTTATTGCATTTTTGCCTAAACTTCTAAGATATTGCTTATGTCAATCAAAGAGAATCTTTTTTCTTTCTCTCCAACCATCTTGATTCTCATAGACATCATAAACTTTTCTCTTCACAAAATATAAGTCGACTCCACAATGAACACTATGTTCTTAAAGAGTCAATATATCCTATAAAGACTTCAATAAACACTTCAAACACTTTAAGCCTTCAACTTCAAGGTTATTCATCCTCTTCAAGAATACCCATCCTCTCTTAGTTGGACGAAGATTGTGTCTGCAGAAGACACTCTAGCGCTGAAGTTGCTCGAGTGCCTTAGAAAGTAATCAATGTGGTAATAAATAAATGTAATTAATGCATATCGTAAAATTTGCTATTTATACTTAATATTTATGGGCCATTTACTTGGATGAGTTTAAGTCACATGACCTAATTATATGCTAATTTTGAGTTATCATAATTAATTATGGATATTTTGGTTTAACTTGTAGATTAATGTAACTAATACTACAATTGGTATGACCTCATTGTGACCAAGTAAGTGTAACACTAGTACAAAAACACCGTATAACATCGGTGATTTTTGGCTTATCACGTCGAATTTGAGACCGACGTCATATCGGAAGACCTTAAATTGAAGTTAATTGAGTTGAACATAGAACAATCCAACGTTAAACATAGAGCAAATTGACGTCGAATATTGCTTTATGTCTGACGTCAATTAATGGGTTTTTTTTAAAAAATTTCGTCAATATTTTCTTCCACTAAAACCATGGAAAATCAATATACAACACAAAAATACACCACAAAAATTTCCAGAATTTTAGAAGTAGTAATAACCAATAAAACGTGCAATAACCAATGAAAATGCAACAATCAATACACATAAAAAATAAAAAAATGAAACTAACCGTGAAGGCAAGGCAGTAGACAGGTGTCGCTGTGAAGGTGAGGAGAAGACAACCACCGCTGAAGAGGGAAAAAAGAGAACTCAACAGTGCTCTAAATGGTGTCTATGCACGAAACTAATTGATTAAAATGAAAGGAAATCATACATAAAGTCAAAAACCAATGGTTTCTTGTGTTAAGTGGAAGAAACATTACCTTTGGTGGTTGTCGAACACTAGTACAAAAATCGCGTATAATGTCACGCGTTCAACGTCCAAGCACTGAATAACCAACGTTAACAATGATCGGTGACATTTTTGTAAATAAATGTAATTATTAGATGTCGTTTATAACTTTAATTCAACGTTAATTTGTTATAAGATATCAAATATTGAGAAGTTCGACGTCCTATTGGATAAATTTTACAAAAATGTTTGGTCCGAAGGTGAAAATATACTTACGTATGGCGTCAGATGTCCTAGAATTAGACGTAAAAAGGGACAAAGCCGTCGGAAATAGCCAAAAGCCGTCGGTATTGACCTTTTATCGACAACTTATTAACGGCCAAAATACCATCGATAAATCCGTTGTCGCTAACGTTTACTGACGGCTTTTGCCCTTCGGTAATTACTAAAGGACACAAGCCTTCGGTAATTACCGAAGGGCAAAAGCCTTCGGTAAATCCTTCGGTATGATCCAGGCAAAACTAAATCATATTTGTATTTCTTATCCAATGAAACAAACCTACATAAAATGTTCATAGCACAGACAGACCTGCATAATATTTTCAAACCACAGACAGACCTCCATAATATGCATCCCAAAATCATTTAATCATTAATGACAAAAATAACTTTATAACATTATTTGTATTCTTCAAATTTAAGAACTTCTATTTTAAATGAAACATGAAACATAAAATAATATCATCTAGACATTAAACATAATGTTCTAACATCCAAATGTTCTAAGAACTATGTTCAATAACAAAATAAAACTAATAATCTACATAGTCATCATCAGAATGATCTTCATCATCCTNTATGGGTTTACCAGTTGGGTAGGGTTTGAGTTCTATGAAGTTGATTTTGGATGGGGAAAGCCCAGTTATGCTAGCACCATTCCTGTGCCCATAAAAAATTTGGGAACTTTGATGAGCACAAAGGATGGAGATGGCATAGAGGCATGGCTTACCTTGACCACACGTGACATGGCTCGGCTTGAACACAATGCAGAACTTCTGAACTTTGCGTCGTTTGATTCTTAATCTTAAAAGTAATGTTGTTTGATATAGTTTTATCTTAAATAATGCAGAACTCACTGCCATGGGATCATTAGAGTGTGCTTCATGTTTCTAGTCTCTAGTATAGCTTATTGGAATAATGGGAATCAGCATGGTTTCTTTACTAGGTGTGCTTTTCCTTCTTCTATTATATTGTAAAATGTCAAATAAAGTTGATGTTCCGACCACTTTATACGGAATGATAGACTTGCACCGCACTCACTTACTAAAGAAAGTACTCACACAATCAAAATATTGAGTAACACTTAAGATTCATCTTGAAGACTTAATATATCTAGAGAGGACATACAAGTTGTTGTGGTACAATAATCCACAAAGAAAAAAAAAATATTCACATTACAATCTAAAATAATAATATTTTACTTATTTTGTTTTATTTTTAACTTAAAATTCCAACATAATTTTTTATATTATTAAAGTGGTTGTCAATTATGCGTATCTTTTTAAGGAATGTCAAAGTATTATTTTGCCATAAATTTATAATATACGATGTAATTAGAGAAAAATATATAGAAAGGAGTGAAAAAATGGTTAACAAATTTGAAAAAAGAGCAAATAATATTGATAGATTTACATTACAAAACTCTCATAACAAATAACTATCTTAAGGTGAAAATTTTATAATTAAATTATTGTATTTTTCTTAATAAGTTTTTTAATTGTTGATGGAATTTTACCAACATAAATAAATTTGTCAATAAAATAAAATTTAAAAACAAATTTTACTCATGAAATTTAGTCTATTCGTAAAGTTCATCAATTTAATTTACAGATGAAAATATTTATCAATAAATTCACTCGGTAAAATTCAGGTAATCTAGAATTGTTATTATAGTAATGAATTTTTTTGTTGGTAAATTATGTTGATCAAATGATAATATATTTTTCATTTTGAGCTTTGAACATGGTGGTTAAATTGATTGATAATTAAATTTCTTAAAAATTATTAGTAAAATTTATTAATGAAAAATATTTGTAGATAGTTTTATCGATAAATTGAGAGCCGGATTTATCGTCCAATTTTATATAATATGTTTATAAATTAATTAGAGAAGTGTGAGAGAAAAAGAAAAAAAAATAAAAAAAAGGAGAAAAGAAAAAGGTGAAGGAGGGAGAGGATGAGAAGAAGAGTCAACGACGGTACAAGATGCAGCAGGATGGCGGCGGTGTAACAACGACAGCGATGGTGGTGTCTGAAAGGAAGAAAGTGGTGAGGGAAGTGTATGGAAGTTGATACATCTAAATTTTTTACAATACTATTCTTATTTATCTTTTACTTTTTTTTTTTAAAACATACAAAACTTTACTTTTTAAATAATTTTAATCTTACATCGTGAATGTAAAAGTAAGTCATGCTATATTTTTATTTAAAAAAATCTTGCATGGGTGTCACATCCTGTAGTATTAGGTGTGTGGTGTTATGGTCCCGTTAAAGGAGATAGAAGGTGATAAATATGAGAGGGTCCAGTGCGAGAGAATGGGGTGTGAGCGTGGGCAGGAAAATGAAAATGAGAATAGAGAGAGAAGGGTGATGGGGTTAGTAATCAGCAGAAGAAGGAAGAAAAGAGAATAGATAGGGAGAGAGACGAAGAGGGTTGCTACGAAGAAGAGGAATTGAGTGGCTTGGGGTGGGTCCATTGGTTTTAGTGAAGAATATCTTGAAGAACGTTTCTTTCAACCAAGGTGGTCCACGTTCCAGGAGCATTGGAGAGAGAAAAAGAGAAGAGGGAGTGAAGCTACAAGGTGTAAACTACGTTTTATGAATTAAAAGAGGGATAAAACAAGAGTTCTTGAGATAAAGGAACCGGCGTGGGTCCCACTGTTAAAAGGGAATGATGAGTGGAGAGTGTTCTCTTTTTGATTTTTTGCGTGGAGTGAGAAAACACAGGCAAAAGCCTCTTTTGGGTGGTCAAGGTCCTTGGCTGAAGTTTTGAAGTGAAGGGGGTGGGTCTTTTTTAACCCAGGGTTCTTTTGTCTTAACACATTCATCTCCTCAACACTCATTTTCTTGAATAACTCTTATTGCATTTTTGCCTAAACTTCTAAGATATTGCTTATGTCAATCAAAGAGAATCTTTTTTCTTTCTCTCCAACCATCTTGATTCTCATAGACATCATAAACTTTTCTCTTCACAAAATATAAGTCGACTCCACAATGAACACTATGTTCTTAAAGAGTCAATATATCCTATAAAGACTTCAATAAACACTTCAAACACTTTAAGCCTTCAACTTCAAGGTTATTCATCCTCTTCAAGAATACCCATCCTCTCTTAGTTGGACGAAGATTGTGTCTGCAGAAGACACTCTAGCGCTGAAGTTGCTCGAGTGCCTTAGAAAGTAATCAATGTGGTAATAAATAAATGTAATTAATGCATATCGTAAAATTTGCTATTTATACTTAATATTTATGGGCCATTTACTTGGATGAGTTTAAGTCACATGACCTAATTATATGCTAATTTTGAGTTATCATAATTAATTATGGATATTTTGGTTTAACTTGTAGATTAATGTAACTAATACTACAATTGGTATGACCTCATTGTGACCAAGTAAGTGTAACACTAGTACAAAAACACCGTATAACATCGGTGATTTTTGGCTTATCACGTCGAATTTGAGACCGACGTCATATCGGAAGACCTTAAATTGAAGTTAATTGAGTTGAACATAGAACAATCCAACGTTAAACATAGAGCAAATTGACGTCGAATATTGCTTTATGTCTGACGTCAATTAATGGGTTTTTTTTAAAAAATTTCGTCAATATTTTCTTCCACTAAAACCATGGAAAATCAATATACAACACAAAAATACACCACAAAAATTTCCAGAATTTTAGAAGTAGTAATAACCAATAAAACGTGCAATAACCAATGAAAATGCAACAATCAATACACATAAAAAATAAAAAAATGAAACTAACCGTGAAGGCAAGGCAGTAGACAGGTGTCGCTGTGAAGGTGAGGAGAAGACAACCACCGCTGAAGAGGGAAAAAAGAGAACTCAACAGTGCTCTAAATGGTGTCTATGCACGAAACTAATTGATTAAAATGAAAGGAAATCATACATAAAGTCAAAAACCAATGGTTTCTTGTGTTAAGTGGAAGAAACATTACCTTTGGTGGTTGTCGAACACTAGTACAAAAATCGCGTATAATGTCACGCGTTCAACGTCCAAGCACTGAATAACCAACGTTAACAATGATCGGTGACATTTTTGTAAATAAATGTAATTATTAGATGTCGTTTATAACTTTAATTCAACGTTAATTTGTTATAAGATATCAAATATTGAGAAGTTCGACGTCCTATTGGATAAATTTTACAAAAATGTTTGGTCCGAAGGTGAAAATATACTTACGTATGGCGTCAGATGTCCTAGAATTAGACGTAAAAAGGGACAAAGCCGTCGGAAATAGCCAAAAGCCGTCGGTATTGACCTTTTATCGACAACTTATTAACGGCCAAAATACCATCGATAAATCCGTTGTCGCTAACGTTTACTGACGGCTTTTGCCCTTCGGTAATTACTAAAGGACACAAGCCTTCGGTAATTACCGAAGGGCAAAAGCCTTCGGTAAATCCTTCGGTATGATCCAGGCAAAACTAAATCATATTTGTATTTCTTATCCAATGAAACAAACCTACATAAAATGTTCATAGCACAGACAGACCTGCATAATATTTTCAAACCACAGACAGACCTCCATAATATGCATCCCAAAATCATTTAATCATTAATGACAAAAATAACTTTATAACATTATTTGTATTCTTCAAATTTAAGAACTTCTATTTTAAATGAAACATGAAACATAAAATAATATCATCTAGACATTAAACATAATGTTCTAACATCCAAATGTTCTAAGAACTATGTTCAATAACAAAATAAAACTAATAATCTACATAGTCATCATCAGAATGATCTTCATCATCCTACTACTCTATAGATGGCTGGACTGATGTGGGCTGGACTGACGTGGGCTGGACTGATATGGGCTGCTGAGGGACGACGGGTGACAACGATGGTCGTGGCTGGGTTGGAGGGACAGTGGAATGAATGTCTTCCGCATCAGGCAACGCTCTCATGACCAGGGACTTGAAGTTTGTAAACTCGGTTCTCAAGTCACTGTAATTTTCTCTCAAATCATGATTTTCCTAGTCACGTTGTTGTAGTAGCTGTGTCAAGCGCTAGATGTTCTCGTCAGCAGTGCTGGTGGAAGAAGAAGGTTGATGCTTTAGAGTACCTCCTCTTGATGCTGTATAGTTTGCAGCAAGTTGTCATGCACCGTACACTCGTCCCTTTTTCTTCCCACCAACGACATCGACCCAGCACTGTGTCCTACGAATGTCGTCGTCCTCCTTACTTGCATCATTCGGTGTAGAAGCTGACCCATGTTCGGATCTAACCTGTGAAAGTCTCGTAGAAAATTCTTCATGTTCAAACATTAAATGCAACGTTTGGGAATAATACAATAACATAATGAGAAATTAATATTAGTAGCTTTGTTATTTGCTTACATGAGTCTTCCGAGATCTTTCATCAACGAATTGATTAGTGCGTTTCCGAACATGAGTATGTGCAAAGACGTCATCAACATGGACCGCCCGTCCCAAAGCTTGTGCCTGTAACATAATTTAGAGTTAGAAGTGTACATGAAATAGAAAATACATAAGTTATATATGAAAGAAACAGAAAAGTATAGAAAGTTTACCATACGAATGGCATGCTCATGAACCGTGATTGACCCACTAGTATGCAGGGTGCCACCCTTTTCAAAAGCTCTATTCCTCTATGTTGTAGCACACTTATTGCGAAACTCTGCTGAATTCCAATGAACGAGTAAAGAGTTCCAAATCTGCTCACCCAACCAGTAAGGGCGCTCCCCTGCATTGCGGGCATCCCTAAACATCTCTGACAGCCGATGAGATGCTTTCATGTGAAAATTTATTTATATTTGAGTTTCATGTTTAGGTTTCCACTGCACCTTCATCTGTAAAAATAAACAAAACAAACATTGATTAATGAACATACTAAAATAAGAATGACAAATAGTTTAATTGGTTGTTCACCTTAAAACGCTCCCATAATGACTTTTTGTCATCTACAGGTATTACTCCCCAAGTAGGCCATGGACTCAAATATTGTTGCTTAATTGATCGTGTGATGGCATGGA